TTTACATGGCTTTGATCCAGCCAGCCGGTTATCGTTTATACCAGTAATTCGTTTCAAGATGAGTTACATGGATGAATGAAAAGATTCATTATGACACTGTTATGAGGACACACAAAAAAGTTCACAAGAGTGTCGGACTTGTCAGAACAGCAAGCTAGACTTTGATTTAGAACACAGTCTTTTTTTTTTATTCCTGTTGGATTCATGAATGTAGTGTCCGGTTCTTGTGGTGAAGATGTGCTGAATGTCCTGAAGGAGTCATGTCTTCTCTTTTAAACTGACCACAAACTCCAGATTATTTTCTAACTTGGACATCATGACACTTCTGGCTCTTCAAGCTGTGAGGAGGGGGACAAGTTGATTCAAATGATTAGAAGTTATTGTTGATTGTTGACAACTAATCAGTATCTACACACTGCTGTACAACGACTGGTTTAGCCTATCCCTCTATCGAGCAATTAATGCCAACCAGGTGATTGTGTGCTCTAACTGAGATTAATAGGTTTGTTTGTTTTTTTTAAATGGTCAGATTGTAGATATACATAGTGGGGCTTATTGACCGAGCCAGAGATATGGTCAACCCTGTGTCTGTAAATGAAGTGGGTTGCTCCTAACTATTTCATGTTGATAAATAAGTGGACAGAGGAGGAGTAATTTCTCAATGTGGTAAATGCGAATTGCAGTGCTTTAATAAGACTAGTTGTACATATTAAATTAAACTTCTGATGAAAACAAGAAACAGATCTTGGTCTCCATTGTATCATGTATTGTTGATGCTTGTTCTTGATCGCTCAGTCCTGTTTGTCTTGCAGGACTGAAGAAGAATGTGTTTTATGCTCACTTGATTACATCAGAATAAATAAGACAAATATTTCACACACTTTACACACAAAGAAGAACTATTTCTACTGTCAGTTTTCCTGACTTAAAATAGTTGGAAGTTAATAACACATCCATGTCCATCCCAGCAGACCTCTTATTTCCATATTAAGACACTGAAATGTGACGTATCTTGCCCAATCAGCGCGTCGTCTAGGGTGTGACTTAGGCTGCCTTCAATGTATGTCGGAGATCCTAACACCTGACACAGTCCCGACAAGGTGGTCACTGCAGAAATTGTTTTCCAGTTGATCATAATTAAGGATGGTTAATTGCTTCCACTACTACCAAATCTTGTGCTGTCATGATGTATGATAAAATAAAACAGCAACCTGTGTGCTTTAATATTCAGCACATATATCAACAATTGTATGAGTTCCTAATAACAGTCTCTTTTTTTTTGGTTTAAATTTTTTTAAATGTTTTTGAGGAGTCTCCCATACCGATGCAATCACTTGCAACCGCACGACTCGCTATTAATTTCCCATTAATGTGAACGGGTAGTTTTGAAGCTTTCCTAAAATCCGAATGTCCGAGCCTCAACTCGTTACATAAACGCACCACGAGAACACGTGGTGGAGCCTTCTGGAAGCAGACTCTCCTTTCCAGCCCGAGCAGCCCGCACTCCCCACCGGCGGTACTTTTTACTTTTACTTCGCTGGTTGTGCTGCTTCGCCATGTCCGCGGTGAAAGCTCTGAACCCGAAAGCAGAGGTGGCCAGGGCCCAGGCCGCCCTGGCGGTTAACATCAGTGCGGCTCGGGGGCTTCAGGACGTGCTGAAAAGTAACCTGGGACCGAAGGGGACCATGAAGATGTGAGTGACGCACGAGCCCTTTGTGCAGCACGCGTGCTAAGCTAACGTTGCTAAGTAGCTAACGTTCACCGGCAGGGTGGCCGTTTATAGACAGACTAACCGCCGCGTGGTTTTGCGTTTGTTTTAAATGCGGGACGCCTCCCCTGCGTGTTACTCCGCCACAGGAAGTGCTGAATCGTAGTTTAGACCTTTTACTTTTAATAAAAACGGTTAACGGATTTTTTCCCGGCGCACGTTGCCCTGCGCAGTCATCGTCACGAGCCGTTTTGACAACCGTCAGGCTAACGGTAGCATGTTAGCGTCAGTTGGTTAGCGGATTACGCTAACGCTAACTGAATGACAAAGTTTCTGTTTACATCGCTTTTATTTTATTGTATCGTTACTATAGTGGGACTAATAGGCGGATGAATGGATTGATCAATGATAACCGAGTTAAAGTTATTGATTATTTAGCGCCGGGAGGATTATTTCAGGAAGTTTGTGCAGATGGCTAACAGTAGCTGTGTGCAGACACTCGTTTATGTTCAAGGTCTGACGAGACTGACTTTAAACTTTCTCTAAACTCTTGGTACCTACAGTATTTAATCCGGCTGTAGCTTGTAGTAAGCAGCCCGTGGCTCTGTCCAGTTAACATTAACCCTGTGTGTTGTGGGTCTGCAGGCTGGTGTCCGGTGCAGGAGACATTAAGCTGACCAAAGATGGCAACGTCTTGTTACACGAGATGGTAAGGAAGTGGTGAGCTGTGAAATTGCACTTTTTGTGTCCAGCTGTGTTGTCCTTACACTGCCTTCTCCATTGTCAAAGAGTGACCACACCCCTAATGTATTTGGATGCCATTAAAGTGAATGTGAGTAACGTGTTCCCATGTAAAAATAAACACTGTCTGTTACATGGGTGATTAACTAACTACCTGACAGGACTGGGAATCAAACCTCAATACTGTCTCGATACTGATTGATTGTATTGAGTGATCGAGTACCGACAGCTGGTTCTGAATACCTGAACAGGATTATAACGATTTGATGCATCTGCTAATCCTGGATTGAATTGCACTGCTATTTTTTGCTGCTTGTGTTTGGAGAACATTTATTATTTGTGAACTGAAATGAGTTTGTGTTGAACATGTTAATATATAGGGCACAAAACTGCTGATTGATTACACATAGATTGGTGAAAGAACAGTTACCAGTGCTAAATCTTTAAATTAAAACTCAGTCTTCAATCAGTATTACATTTGCCAGAGTCAAAATCAGGTTTAATGTCAAGTAGGTTTTCACATACAAAGAATTTGCCTTGGTATATTGGTGCATAACAGTAGACATAGCTCGAGGAAAATATAAAGATGAATTGTGAATAAGCATAAATTGACAATACGAGGAAGGAAAGAAATATGAAGACAATAATAAAGAGGCTATATGTTTCTTTCTCGACTCTTCATCAGTGGAGATACTCTTTTGAAAGCACAAGTGGACCTCGAGTTCAGTTTGTTTTGTTTTACAGCAGAGGAACGTGTTGTACTGTAGAGTAGAAAACTTATAGTTGATCATCTCAAATTAACATGCAACTAGTTTGATCATTGATTGTAATTGATAATTGTCTGTCACATATGATAATGAATATTCTTTGGGGTTTGGACTTTTGGTCAGGCAAAGCGAGACATTTGAAGATGTAAACTCGAGCTCTGTGACGTTGTGATTAAACCAAATAATGTATTAAAATATTAATTCATGAAAATGAATCATAAGCTGCAGCTCAGTTGTTCTTCGTCGGTGATGGGGTTTTGCATAATCACCATGATCAATGGTCTTTTTATGTTGCACTAATATCTTTACTCTTGTTCCTTTTCAGCAAATTCAGCACCCGACAGCATCACTCATTGCAAAGGTTGCCACGGCGCAGGATGACATCACAGGAGACGGAACCACCTCCAACGTCCTCATCATCGGTGAACTGCTGAAGCAGGCTGACCTCTACGTGTCAGAGGTAAAAGAGAAACACTGCTCTTTTATCAATGTAATGAGGGGCAGTGGTATTTGGAACTAGTTATATTTTCCCTCTAACTTTCTTTTGATTCCGCGCCGCAGGGTCTTCATCCAAGAATCATTGCTGAGGGCTTTGAGGCAGCAAAAGAGAAAGCCTTGGCGGCTCTGGAGGATGTGAAAGTGACCCAGGAAATGGACAGAGAGACGCTCATCAACGTAGCACGCACCTCTCTCAGGACCAAGGTCCACAAAGAGCTGGCAGACCTGCTCACTGAGGTGAGACATGTGCGAACGGAGCTTAGTGGGAGTCTTTGGCACCGAACAATGATCGTTCTCTTGGTTATGGTTACTCCTAGTAGACTCTTTAATCCCTTTGGCTGTAAAATATCTACTAAGGGCACTCGCTGATAAGCTACCACATCAGTCAGATAATTCCATACGAGCAGTTTCTTGCCTTTGTGAAGATGTGGATATTCGCTAGTTAATTAGGACGTGCAGAAGTTTAATATTTCAGATTTTTGTCAGTGGTTAATGTGACATGTTTGTCTGCAGGCTGTAGTAGATGCTGTGCTGGCAATCGCCAAACCCAATGAGCCAATCGACCTGTACATGGTGGAAATCATGGAGATGAAGCATAAGACCGACTGCGATACACAGTGAGTCTTAACAAAATCTGAAGACTTGGAGCAAGTGACATTTCATCACTTTACTGATGCTGCTGCAGGAGTGTATCTAAGGGTTTTTTCTTTTCAATTTTAATTTCTCAGACTGATCAGAGGTTTGGTGTTGGACCACGGTGCTCGACACCCAGACATGAAGAAGAGGGTGGAGGATGCCTACGTGCTGACCTGCAACATATCTTTGGAGTACGAAAAGACAGAGGTTAACTCTGGCTTCTTCTACAAGAGTGCAGATGAGAGGGAGAAGCTTGTGGCTGCAGAGAGGAAGTTCATTGAGGATCGTGTGCAGAAGATCATCGCCTTGAAGAACAAAGTTTCGCCCGACGGGGAGAAGGGTTTTGTTGTCATTAACCAGAAGGTAAGTTTGAAAATGAGTCGTACAGTATTGGTATTTAACTGCAAGACACTTCTTACTGGGAGTAGCTTATTTAAAGTGTTAAATGTTATGTCAAAAATACTGCTTGATAAAGCTTTAAATATATTTGACACAATATTATCCCATGACCCATTGCCTCTCGTAGGTACATAAGTTACAGGTCAATTCACATATCATTTTAAGACATTTTTAATTTCTATAAGAACACTGAGCATTTTGTGATTCTCAACATATTTAAGTAAAAATAAATGCCTCATCAATACTGTTAATTGCACAGTGAACACCCAAGGATGCTAACGTAGCTCCCCCTGGTCTCTTGTGTCTGTGCTACAGTAAACCTGATCTGTACCTCTGCATTAGGAGAGTCCGCTCCTCACTTACATGTATTCAACAGATCAGAATAAACTTTACATCACTGAAACTGATAACTGTGAGCTATTTATTGAATTGATGATGATGATAAATGGATGTTTCATGTTTTCTCTTTATTGTATAGGGTATTGACCCATTATCTCTAGATGCCCTCGCCAAGGAAGGCATTGTAGCCCTGCGCAGGGCGAAGAGGAGGAACATGGAGAGGTAAGAAAACATTACAAAGAGTGCCCTTTTCTGTACAATGGAAATGTTGTAGTTTCCCTGTCACTTCCGGTAAACGTGAATTTTATTTTTTTAGAAGATGGAAAATTTTGCAAAAAGGGTTCAAGACAACAAACCTATTATTATTTCTTCTTTTGTAAAATGTAGTTGGTCTCATTTGCACAGCGAACACCCAGGGATGCTAACATGGCTCTCCCTGGTCCACTATGTCTGTGCTACAGTGACTCTGGTCTTTTCCTCTGCATTACGAGAGTTTCCGTCTCTCCTACATGTATTCAGCTGATCAGAACAAACTTTGTTTTAAACAGATCATTTTTGCATTATTGAGCCGGAGCAATGATACTTGTCCTCTATTGTGGAAATGCTAACAGAGTCCAGTTAGAACAGTATTTTTTCACTTTTTAGCAATTATATCCACAAACAATTGGATCATATATAGATGCCTAGAGCGATGCAGACACTGCAGTTAAAACAATAACACATCCTATTGTTTTTACAAAAACCTTTCTTATACGTTCACAGTTCAGTTAGGTTTGATAAAACAAAGGCAAACCGTGGTGTAATGTAATTTTACTATTTTGGCTCTAGGTGTAGTTGTTCAGTAAAGTTTGAATACTGTGATGATACAGTTTACCATCATGTTTTTGGCCACAGTGTTAAAATTGAATATCAGAACACATTCCCTAAATCTAGCCAAATGTGGGACCAGAATGCATATACTACATTTTATTATGATGAGTACAATCTTGTCTGTGCATTAGACGTCTCTACCCTTCGGAGGCTTGGTGAAGTATGACTCAACGTTTTGCTCAGGAAACTGTAACGATTGGTCAAATTTGTGGACAGGTTGTGGCGATAGGATAAAATTGCTAGGTTGTGGATTGTTCTGATCGTATCGTCGCAGCCTCCTGGAGGGCCTGATTAGATGTCAGTGAATGAGACCGCTTGATTACTTCCATCAGTACAGTGACACATGCACAGACAACACTTGCTCTCCATAGCTACTGTGGGTTCCCGGCTGTATGATGATGTACCATCAGAAATCACATCAAGGAACTGATTAATACATACAGTGTGTTGTTCCCTTGGCAGGCTTTCCCTCGCTTGCGGTGGCATTGCCATGAATTCAGTTGATGACCTCACACCTGAATGCTTGGGAAATGCTGGGTTGGTTTATGAATACACACTGGTGAGTATCTATGTTGTGACTATTATGTAAGTGTAAAAGACTGGTTCCTGGAGGCTGTTTGCATTTATTGATGTGTAAGATGTCGAGGCAGAGCTATTAATTTCCCGTAATCCTGTTACAGGGAGAGGAGAAGTACACGTTCATTGAGAAGTGTGGAAATCCTCGCTCAGTCACCCTGCTGGTGAAGGGACCAAACAAACACACCCTCACACAAATCAAAGATGCTGTAAGAGATGGTTTGCGGGCAGTCAAGAATGCCATAGAAGATGGTAAGGCTAAATAAAATGTGTTTGTGTTATTTGACTTTGTTTTAGAAGTCAATTTCTGTTTTGCCACCAGGGTGCAGTTCAACACTTTGTTTTCAAGGTTCCCTCCAGTTGATCCTTTCACTGCAATCTTTATCACACATTTACTGCCATGTTACACATGTTACTGCAATTTAGGTAGTACACTGTGGTCAGTCTGTCTGTTCTTCTTTTGTAAAATGTAGTTGGTCTCATTTGCACAGCGAACACCCAGGGATGCTAACATGGCTCTCCCTGGTCCACTATGTCTGTGCTACAGTGACTCTGGTCTTTTCCTCTGCATTACGAGAGTTTCTGTCTCTCATACATGTATTCAGCTGATCAGAACAAACTCCCCAAGTTTATTGTTTTACGTTTGTTTTAACAGTTCTTGTCTTGCTGAGCTGAGGCAATTATATTTCTGTGTTTTCTAAGTGTTTTCTTTTGATATTTGTCTCTTCAGGTAGTGTTGTGCCCGGTGCAGGTGCATTCGAGGTTGCTGTGGCAGATGCTTTGGTAAAACACAAGCCCAATGTGAAAGGCAGAGCCCAGCTGGGAGTCCAGGCATTTGCAGATGCTCTTTTAGTCATCCCCAAGGTGAGGGATTTATACTTTCTCCTGCAGACTTTCAGTGTTTCTTTATACTAAGGTGTTTTTGCTTTTGTATTGTAGATCTACTACAATCAGTTGTCAGCTATTAAATTAATCGGCAACTACAATTACAGATTGTTTTGAGTCTGTTTTTAAAGAAACGTTTTCAGATTCTCTGTTTTCAGCTTCTCGAATGTTGATTGATTATTTTCTGGTCTCTTTAGTTCACTATGACAGTTAACTGAATATATTTGGGATGTGGACAAAAGACATTTGAGGATGACACCTTGGGGAAATGATCATCAGAAATCAATAATAAAAATAATCCTTACTTGCAGCTTTACTGTTTAGTGCTACTGATAATATCTCTTGTCCTCCTACTCATGCCTACCATTAGACAGGAAAGTCCAAACTGATTTGTTATCTGTGAGAATTCACACTGTTATCAGCCTCCGTTGATTTTAATTCTGCACCTTCCTTTGTAGGTTTTGGCCCAGAACTCTGGCTATGACCCACAGGAGACCCTGCTGAAGCTGCAGACAGAGTTCAAAGAGTCTGGTCAGCTTGTTGGAGTAGACCTCGACACAGGTCAGAACCACAGCAGGGTTTATATATAGAGGATTGTATTACGCAATGTATTTTAAAGATATTTACAATACATCACAATGTCTATTGTTGATTTTTCAAAAGCAGCAACGAGCCTAGCTACCGCCCTGGTTCGGTTATAATGCTCTTAAATCACAACTTAAATCCTGTTTTTCAGGGGAGCCCATGGTGGCAGGGGAAGCAGGTGTATGGGATAATTACAGCGTTAAGAAACAGCTTCTTCATTCATGGTGAGTTTACACATCTCAAAACTCTACAAGGCCAGTTGAATATTTGAAATGTTCCCGGTTCCTTCAATCTCTTGCGTGTTTTATTCCTTTTACAGCACGGTGATTGCTAGCAACATCTTGTTGGTGGATGAGATCATGCGAGCTGGAATGTCTTCACTCAAAGGTTAAAGGTCAACTGAAGAAGCTGCAGCTGTCTTCATACTCACAGGGATAGTTGTTTACCGAACGGTTCAGTCAACGTGTTCCCGCTCTGAAGCCCCCCAGTCTGATGGACAGCCTGCTGTAAACACCACAGCAGTCATCACAGCGTCTGTCAGAAATCAATGTTATGCTAGTCATGTTTTTTTTTTCATGGATTTGTGAACGCCTTCCTCTGATTGGTTTATTTATGAGATTTTGTTAAAAGCACTGACCTCTGCCACTCGGATTTGTTTCTACCCATTAAAGGCTCTTGAAAGATTGGTTTGTTTTTGTCTTTGTGAAGAGTAAAGTGATGTATAAAATGCAGCTGTTGAGATAAACTGGGTGTTCAAATTTAGAAATCTCTTTGGAAACTATTCAAACTGTAAAATGCAGCCAGAATGTAATTTAAACACACAAGTGCTGTTTTTGGCAATTCCATATAATGCAATTTAAAATTAAATATTGTGTTTTTTACTCCACTAAAATTACTTAACAGATCCAGATTACACAAAACAAAAGTTTATTATAGGTAATTAAATGGGTTCATCTCCACATACTGCAAAATTAAAATGCTTGTTGTATATGAATGAATTAGTAATTATATATATTATGCCTAACAATCTTTCTAAGCCTTATCTGTTGCTACTTTAGAGCTTTATGATATTTCTTCTACTGCACATAACAGTGAAGATACAAATCCAGGACGCATGTTTAATTTGCATTTCAAGCTTTCAAAATAAAACTACTGGGCGTCTGTTTATATAAACATATAAAATACATGTTCAAAGGCATATAAATTAATAAAACCTTATTTTAGATCGTAGTTTTTTGTAAACTTAAGAGTTTAGTTTAGAGTCGTTCATCTTCCTCAAGGCTTTAAATATGATGAAAATACATTTACAAATATACTTATTAAGGGGGGAGATTTGTTCACATAGCTTGATGGATCGTTTTAGTGGCACATTGTTAAATATTAACTCGTTCAGCTAAACAAATTCAGACTGCAGTGTTTCATGGATTTAATTCAGGGTGGATTAAGGTGAAATGTGTTTTATTGAATCAATTATTGTACATTTTTGTGTTGTATTTAGTGTATGGTGTAGTAGCGGGAGAAGATGTAAACAAAACTAATTAACACGTTTAAGTTTAAAATAAAGCGGAACCACCTTTTTCTATTTTACACGGAACTTGTTTTATGTTGAACTTATTTCCGTTGCGACGGTGAAATTGGTCCGAAGAGACGAGAAAAATGTTAAGTTAACGTGAGATTGAAGTTTGATAAATCGCTAGTTAAATCTTATATATATATATATAATCTATATATTTATATGCTAAATATAAACAATGTTAAATGAATAGTTAAAACTAGCTCGTCCAATATGGCCGTTAAGACAGTTTCCTTGGTAACGGCTGTGTTTTTAGTGGCAGTGGCGGGTAAGAAATCAAATATTTCTACATTTCTGAACAGAGATTGTATTAATGTTGTATCAGCATGATGGAGAACAGTTTCCTCCTGACTCCCAGCAGCAGGTGAGATGCTGAATATCCCCGGAGGGAAGATGTTAATGGGAACCAGTGCAGCTGATGGGAGAGATGGAGAGTCCCCCACTAAAGAGGTCGCACTGCAGCCTTTTAAATTAGACACATACCCGGTCACAAACTCTGATTTCAGGTAATAAAACCGACAGTATCGTATTGTGGTGTTTTGATAAGAAGTTGAAAACAA